AGAGCTGGGTCCAGGCGCCTCCGTGCCCTAAACCGGCACCACGTCCCGCACCTTCCCGCCAGGCCCCATGTCTGCTCACAGGTGATCTCCTCTACCCCAAGCTTGGCACTGGGCTTGATGTCCCTGACCCCAAACTAGTGCCGTTTCCCCATCCCTCACCCAAACTGGTGGAAGTCCCAGTCACCCAAACCCGCTGAGGGCCAGCACCGGCTCAGAGACCATCCCCAGGGCTCAGAACATCCCCTGCCCCACACCAGCACTGGGGTATGAACTGGCAGGGGCAGGGACCCGGCATGGCCTTACCAGCCCTCACAGGACCCAGGATCTCTCCCCAAACTGACCTTGGGTCAGGGACCATTCTGAACCAGTCAGAGGCATTGCCCATGGCCTGCCAAATGGCAGGGGGGGGGGGGCCTGCCAAATGGCAGGAGGTCGGGGTCACCCCTCCAAACGCAGCTCAGCCCAAAGTCATGGATATCCCTGTCATGTCCCCTGTCCAGCTCTAGGGCAGCAATACCCCAAGATATTGTCCTGCCATGGACACTCTGGACAAATCAACACCAGACCCATGGTGTCCTGAAACAGGCTGATGTTCCCAATACTGGGACTCACCAGCAATGAGGTACACCTTTCCCCAAACCAGGACTGAACCCACCATCTCATCCCCAGCCTAAGAGTGAACTAGAGCAAGGTGCCCGCCGACCATGTTACCAACCCATGGGGCCAAAATGGGCCTAGGATACTGACATCCAGTCCCACTCCAACAGGCTCATTTTCGCCTTCCCGGTCCCAGAGCCTTTCTTAAAGGTTATAGTGAGCTCAAGGATCTAGCATGGGATTGGTGCCAATGCTGAAATGGCACCAGATGGAAGCTTGGCTGTCTTCATGGCCAAGCAAGGGCCTCTCACCTCAGCAGCCCCTGGGCGGGCTCTGCCCCCTGCTCTCCTCCCTCTGGGAAGCAAATGGGGGCAAGCAGAGCCCCCCAGCCCTGTGCTGTAGCAGTAGCCCACCCTGGGCTCCCCTCCCAGCTCCAGAAAGGGAAGCACAGACCCTGTTTTCCCTCAGGGAGCTGTCCCACCCTTTCACGTCTCCTTTCTGCATCTGTGGCCTGGGGCTAAACCTGCACTGAACCATGCTGTCTGGGCTGGGATCCCAGGTCCAAGGCCAACTCCAAGCATTAGGAAGATGGTTCTGTTTTAAAATGTCCTGATTTTTTCCCTTTTCTGCCCAGAGAGGCCCTTGGTGAAGAGGCGGAGCCAAAGGTAGTAGAGGAGAAGGAGGAAGAGCAGAGAAAGAGCCACCAACAGATTGAGGAGAGCCGGCAGGTGGGGCAGTAGGACAGGAAGGTCTTCTTGGGTCCCTGACCTCTGGAAATTTGGCTTTACCCTGCTTTTAGCTTTGTGTGGTGCTTTGAGTCACACAGCAGCATTTATGTAAGAATGTGAGAAGCAGGGAAAGAAACTCCTCAGGACTGGGTGGAGGGTGATTCCTGGGGATACAATTTCCCTGTGACAAACAGTCCATATATTGGAATGATATGGGACTGACACCATGCATCCAAACCCCAACCCAACCCCCCTGCCCCATCTGCGCATGCAAGGGAAGCAAAACAAGAAGGTGCTCTGAGCACATTCCTCTTTGTGCTGATGGCCTGGAAGGCTTTGCAGGAGAGGGAGGACCCATGCACTGAAGTCACAGAATCACAGACTGGTTTAGGCGGGAAGAGCCCTTAAACCTCATCCAGTTCCAGCCACCTGATACGGGCAGGGACACCTTCCACTAAAGCAGATTGCTCCAAGCCCCGTCCAACCTGGCCTTGAACACTGCCAGGGATGGGACAGCCACAGCTTCTCTGGACAACCTGTGCCAGTGCCTCAGCACCCTCACAGGGAAGAGCTTCTGCCTAAGATCTCATCTCAATCTCCCCTCTGTCAGGTTAAAGCCATTCCCCCTTGTCCTGTCCCTACAGGCCCTTGTCCAAAGCCCCTCCCCAGCTTTCTTGTTGGCCCCTTTAGGCACTGGAAGCTGCTCTAAATTCTCCCTAGAGCCTTCTCTTCTCCAGGCTGAACAAGCCCAGCTCTCTCAGCCTGTCTCCATAGTGGAGGTGCTCCAGCCCTCAGAGCATCTTCATGGCCTCCTCTGGACTCGCTCCAGCAGGTCCTTGTGGTGTTCATCAATACTGCCATAACATGAGAAAACAGGGCTTATGGGTCCACACAGACACCTCAGCATGGGGACAGGAGGCAGACCCTGGGTGGGCATAACAAAAGTTCCCCCAGTATTCCTTTTCCTGTGTGTGAGGTGTGTACCACCTACTTCACAGAGGCTGGCCAAGCTGCAATTTGAGGGCACGCAGATGTTGACAAATATCCAGGTGGCTGCTGACTTGAGAGAGACACAGAGGAGAGCAGAGAATGCAGAGCTGAAGTTGCAGAGGTAAGAGGCTGTGCGGTGGGTCTGTGATGCTGGGAAGGAGCAGTGCAGATGTTAGTGCAGCTTTCTTGGTCATCCAGGAATGCTCAGCAATCAGGGCAACACTGAGTTTATGTTCAAAAGGAAAATTGAGGCAAAGAGCCTCTAGGTCCTACCTGACACAGCAGGATCTTTACAGAGCTCTGCGGGTCAAGGCTGGTGGCTTCCCCAGCTGGCACTGCAGTACTGTGGATGCCTGGTTACTGATGTCCTCCAAACCCATCACATCTTCAGCTCCCGAGTGGAGAAACACAGGTGGTTCTCAACTTTTTACACCAGGAGCCTTTACCATCTATACTTGTGGTCTTCCTTGCTCCATCTCCTGAGCCTGGAGGTGATGTCATGGTGGAGAACGTGCTACTGTGTGCTAAGAGGTGGCCTTTCTCTGGAGGCTGCCCTCCAATCATGGAGGTAGGGGTAGTTATTAGCCATAGCAAGGGAATGCACTGGGACAGCCACATCAGGACATGTGTGAGGAGGGGGAAGAATGTGAAGCTGTACTCATTTGGTGAATTAGATATTAAGGTCTTTGCGGTGAGAGTGGTCAGATGCTGGGTCAGGGGCCCCTGATACTGTAGAGATCTTCCTCCTTTCAGATACTCAGTACACGCCTGGACAAGGCCCTGCACAACCTGCTCTGACACTGAAGTTAATCCTGCTGTGACCGGGAGCTGGTGATTTCCCGAAGCCCTTCCAGCCTCGATTATTCTTTGATCCCCTCTGTGTGCCTTCCTGGGGAAACCTGTCCTGCTTCACCAGAGGAGCTGGGCAGCCTCCAGGGAACGAGCTCTTTCAGCCCTGTCTCCCGGACTCGGTCAGCTAGGAAACACTGAGTCCTCGCTCCTGCTACCTTTGGAGGGCACTGTAGGAACAGTTTCTGGGATTCTGGCTGTAGCAGGATGCATGTCCCTTGCTCAGTGCACTTCCCGGTGGGAATCTCATTAAAGAAGCAGGTGCTGTGTCCAGGAACTGCCCGTAGAGCATGTTTAGGGGTGGCAAAGGTGGTGGCCGCTGTTCAGGCTGAGCCAAGGGCCATTCCGAGAGCACGTTGAATGGTCTCTCTGGAAGAGGAATGAGTTTTGTGGTATGGATGTTGGCTGTTCAGTGCCATTTTGCTTTAGCTGGAGTATGGTCTCTGGACAGTTTGACTACCAAGTCTAAGTGTAGCTGGGAGGCTGTTTGGCACTGCTTGTCCATCTCCTCTTGCCTAGAGACTGCTTGGCAGAAGCACTAGTGCTCCTTCCAAAGGTAACTGCTGCTTGAGCTGAGCTCCTCCTTTTCTCCTCTGGGTAAGGGCAGAGCTGGGGAAAAGCCTATCTGAAGAGAAGGGCCTGCAGGATCCCAGCTCTTCCCTTGTCCAATGCTCTAACAAGCACTTGCAAGAAAGCTGCTGTTCCACTGATATCTTGAGGCTACTCTGAATTCAAACTGGGTTATGCAGGAAAGTGCTCCAGCAGGCTGGGCCACCAAACCATGTCTTAAGCACTTGCTGCCCTGACCCAGCTCCCCATTTGCCATGTGCTCCTTATTAACCTGCAGGGTGCAGAAGCTGGAGAATGAAGCCAAGTCTAGCACACAGAAGTTTGTGGAGATCACCTCCAAGTGGGCCTTGGCCAAAGACATGACAATCCCACAGGATCTGGGGCAGTTGCTGAACTCAAACCAACAGCAGCAACTGTGCACGCTGCTTCTGGAGCAGAAGAACAAGCTCATCAGTGAACTGCAGCAGGTAACGTGGGGACCAGGCAGGAACAGCTGGCAAGGTCTGGGTGATTTCAAGGTCTGGAGGATACTGTTCTAAAGCATCCTGCTGTCTGGATTTTCAATACACCAGTATGTGGCTGGGGTCTGTGCAGTGTCAGTTGCTTTGGGCCAAAACTCTGCCAGGAGTTGTAGTGCCACTGTCCTGACATGGGTGCTCTAGCAATGTGCAGTGTACACGGACAGACACACAGGACACTGGCTACAGTAAGACAAGCTGGCAGAGCCCAAATTACACACTATAAATAAAAGGCACATGAGCAGAGAGGGGGAGTGTTTTTGTAAATGGAAGAAGACGTTCCCACAGCAGGTTGTCTTGCCCCCAAAGGAGTGGTGTGTCTGCAGGCCTGTCACCTCCCACTCCATCTCACCTGGACCTTTGGCAGTGATGATCTGTCTCTCCTCCCGTCTTCTCTCCTAACCACCTCTGGACTTTCTGGCTCTTTGCTCTTAGCACCTCTTCTTTGGAAAAGACAGAGTCCTTACCCTACCTGATAGGACCCATCTGGGTCCTGCCCTTTCAGTTAGTCCTTGAGGATTCCTGGTCAAATACTTGTCTCTGATTTCAGCATCTGCTCTTCTCCTTCAGGAGCTGAAAAACAAAGATGAGCAATACATGCAGGCCATTAAGAAGCAGTCGGATGATATCCACCTGCTGTTGGAGAGAATGGAGGAACAGATCAGGACCATGCTGAAAACTTACCGTCATAACTTCCTACAGATTGAGGTAGCCAGTTCACATGGTGGAGGAAGAGTCCAACAAGAAAACCTGCAGCCACTTGCTTCTCCATATCTGTGTCAAAAAGACCTCAGGCTAATTGCACTGGCTGGGTTGACTACTGCCCAGAGCAGCATGGCTGATGTCTTGGTGTATGAGGCTAAAATCCAGTCAAGCAAGAGCACTGAATGGTGTTGAGTGCCGAGGGGCTGGTTTATACTGTGCTTGAATGACTGTGGTTCAGTGCAGAGTAACTCAGTGATGTGTGAAAACTGTTGCTGCTTGATAGCTGGTTATTCATGTCTTTAAAAGCCAGAAAGGACTATTGTGGTTCTTTAGCCTTACCTTCTGCAGAGCACAAAGTCCCACCTCATGGATCAAACCTGTATTTGTTGCTGAGTGAGGGCATCTCTCTCCATTTAATGTCTTGTAAGGTAAAATCAAGTGGCTGTCTGATCCAGCTCCACTGCTAATTACCAAGCAATGATTTCCAGTGAGCTCACATTGCTACCCACCAGCCAAAGCATCCCTTTCAGCTCCAGGTGGCTGATAGCAGCAATCCCCTTGGGTGTGTAGGGGGAGATCTCCTGTTTTGGAGACATCAGGCCAGTGTTTGTTCATCAGACAGGTGCACCAATCTGTGCAGCAAATCCTCTCCTGGAAGCTGCTGGCCTGGATTAGTGTAAGTTGGTAATGAGTAGTGTCAACATGATGGTGAAGGGCTCTGTCTTCTTCACAGAAAGCTTTTGAGGAGGAACGGCGAGAACTGCTGGACAGCAACAGGAAGAAGTGGGAGGAAACCATCCAGGCCCACAACACACAGGAGGTAAGGTCCATGTGAGATTTAGAATCACTGAATAGTTTAGGTTGGAAAACACTTTTAAGATCATTGAGCCCAAATGTTAACCCAGCACTGCCAAGTCCACCACTAAACCATGTTTTTGAGTCCCACATCTACACATCTTTTAAATCCCTCCAGGGATGGTGACTCCACCACTGCCCTGGGCAGCCTGTTCCAGTGCTTGACAACCCTTTCAGGGAAGAAATTTTTCCTAATATCCAACATAAACCCTCCCCTGCTGCAACTTGAGGCCATTTCCTCTCGTCCTATTGCTTGTTACTTTGGAGAAGAGACTGACCCCACTCACTACAACCTTCTGTCAGGTAGTTATACAGAGCAATAAGGCCTCCCCTGAGCCATCTTTTCTCCAGGCTGAACAACCCCAGTTCTCTCAGCTACTCCCCGTATGAAGACAGCTGGTCCCTCAGGAGTGTGGGGGGCAAAGAGGGAGTTTTTCAGCCTGCTCTTCAGGGGAATTGTCCATGCATGACCCTGCTTTGGGCTAGCCACAGGAATTGTGATCACAGGAGGAAGCTGTCGCCATTGATAAACAACATTCTCCTTTTGCCCATAGATGGAATACCTCCGTGCCCGCATGAGGAAGGTGGAAGAGTTTGAGAAAGAGCTGAGTAAGCTGCGGGTGCAGGATGAGGAAGAGTACAACAACATGAAAATGCAGCTGGAGAATGATGTAGAGGTACAGAAGAGGCTGGCATGTGCCATGTGGCAGCGGATCAGATCTCCCTGGGCTTTTCTGTGTGTAGCTGGCTCTGGTATGAAAGCTGCAGCTGGTATCCGGTCACCTCAGCTCTTCAGCATGCACAGTCCAGCCCTGTGTCAACAGGGTGATGGAGCTGCTGTTCTCTCCATGGATCCTCTACCTCAGTGTCTATCTGCCCTTGCTCTCAGGGTCTGTAGCACCTGAACGGTAGCTCTAGGTTGTATAAAACACCTGGGAAAGTCAAGGGGTTTGCTACTTCTGACATCATGATTGAGAGGAAGTTCAAATGGTGTGCCTGTCCTGACACCACATCATTTCAGATCAGCCCAATTTCCTCCTTTGTCAGGGTCTTGGCCTAGGAGGTGTGCTTTTTCCTCTGATATCTAGCCATAGACTGATGATTTCCCTAATGCCCGTGAAGCCCCCATGGTGTGAGAACTGCATGAGTTTGCCCTTACTCAGGTAGGAGGGCATGCTGTGGAAGAGCACAGTCCTGGCAGGAAGCCTAGGGAAATACAGGCAAGGGTTGATGTCTAGAAGGTTTTGCACAACTGCAGGTGAAATATTACTGTGTCAAGGTCCCTGTCAGTCTGAAAGGGCATGTCCAGGGTGACAGTCCTGATTGTGATTTCTTCACCTTCATGTTGATAACCTGGAAGGTGACATTAAGTGTGTAACCAGCAGTGTGCTGGAGATCAAGGTTCACAGTCAGCAATGGGGAGCTGTTGAAAAATGCACCTGCTGCCTTTAGCTGTAGTTGTGGGAGGGTTTATTTGTAAGGCAGGGGAGGGAATTATTCTTCTCTATATCTATGTGTCCTTGCCCAGGTTTGACAACATGCTTGGGAACAGGGGAGAGAGTCTAGAACAGACCAAGCAGACAAATGACCCCTAGGAAAAAGTTGAAAGGCTGGGGCTGCTTAGACTGGGAAAGAGAGTTCTGTAGGGACATATCTACAGATACGTGTCCTCTGTAAATGCAAAAAACCCTCATGGGGTTGAGTTTTGTCAGGAAAGATTTTTATTGGCATTCAGATTTTGCATTGAGATTTCAAGCTAGGAAAGTGGCAAAGACTTGGTTAGCTGGAGTGCCTGTGCCCTTGGTTTGCTGTCTGTGATACATGGTTTTAAGAACACCTTAAATCAACTTCTGCTGGGACTGATTAGGTGAAGTTTTCCCTCTCTGGGGCAGAGGGAGGAACTACAGGTCCTCCTGGTTTCCTTCAGAAGAAAAGAGAAGTTGGAAGTACCTATTTTCCTGACTAACCTGTGGTATTATTATTCTGAGGTATCTCTGAATCAGGAGCTTAGCCAAGACCTAACAGTGAAGTCTGTGGTTTGAGGGTTATTGAGTACTCCCCAGTTTCACTAGATTGGAATCAGCATTTTAAATCTGGGGATTGGGCCATGGCTTTCCTCCATCTGCTATAATGAGGAGGTCCTTTGGCCCTGCTGGGATTTACCTCCATCTTTACTTCAGTCAAGCTTTGGTCCTAGCCAGGTGGGACTGCTTCTGGGTGTCTTCTCAGGTTGTTTGTGCACTCTCTGTTGTAAGTAGGGCTACCCAGGAGAGCTCCAAGCTAGCTAACTCAGGTTCCAGTGTCTTCCCTGCTTCTAGCCTACAGCTCAGGACTCTTTATCTGCCCCCAGAGATCACCCTGGGCCTAGAGCAAGCCCAAGGCCCTGATGGAGACCCCGCTGGGTCTCTTTGCTGTGCAGTTTGCTGTGCACAACCAAGCCTGTGGGTGATGCTGTAATTTAGGGGCATGCAGGAGCTTCATTCCAATCACTTCGTATCACGGAAGGGGTCTTTATAGGCTCCTCAGTAAAGCACTGTATTATGAGATTTTTTTCGGTATCAGACTTCTGCCTCCTTTTGCACCTGGAAAACACACTAATGAATTGAATCACACCAGCTCCCGCCCATCCATGCAGTCATTCTGCCTGTGCCTGATGCCACTGTGTCCCCTGAGCTCGTTTCAAAGTGACCTGTAGAGCTGACAGAGAGGTTCATTGGGAAGGTGTGATACCTCCCTGCCCAGAGCAGCAGCCCCAGAAGACTGGGACAATCAGGCCACAAAGCAGCTCTTCCTTCCTGTCAGCTGTCAAGCAAACAAGGTGCTGGGAAGCTGAGAGAAATGTCTCCATTGCAAATGTCTCCTCCTTTGTATCAGTGGAGCAAAGGGGGCAGAAGTCGCTGCCTTTGTCCTGTGTCCAGGCTATGCAGCATTATGCTGCCATCACAAATGCTTCAGCTGTTTGTTTTGTTCCGGTTTCATTAAGACGTGGAGTGCAGGCAGTCCTGTGTGTCATTTCCTCCAGCTTGCCAAATAACTTCTGAGCCTCTTGGTTAACTCAGAGACATGCAGTTCTTTAAACTGATGTACAAATCAGCATCTAGATTGAAGAGAGACACCAGAATTAGTGCTCCACTGAGTGAAAGTTGGACTTCAGTCTGTTCTCCCTTCCCCAGACATGGCCCTGTAGCATGTACTGATGGACAACCAGCAGCTCCACCACTCAGCCATGAGGGATGCCGTGTCATCTGGGAAAATGTGTGTGGGAAGATGGGGTTTGGAGATGCAGAATCAGTAGGATCCAGGCCTCAGTGCGGCCTTTGCTCATGGCACAACTTGTTTTCATGTTATTTTGAAATGTCAGAACCTGGAGAGGCAGCTCCAGCAGATGAAAGCTGTCTATCATCTGAACCAGGAGAAGCTGGAGTTCAACCTTCAAGTGCTTAGGAAGCGGGATGAGGAGAACACCATCATCAGAGCCAAACAGAAGAGGAAGCTCAACCGGTAAAAAAACATCCCTGGAAGGTGGGCTCTGCCTTAACAGCTATCACCTCCCATATGCCATTTTTTGTGGAGCCCATCACCTAGCACAGGCCAACAAGATCTGTTCCAACCTGTCCCTGGGCAGGGGCAGGGGTTAGCCCAGGGCAAGAGTCATCACCAGAGCGCTTTGAATAGGCTGGCCGTGGCCAGCTGCATCGGGGTCACTCAGGCCTTGTCACTGAGTTATTGCTAGTAGATAAGAGCCCCAAGTCCCAAAGCCTTCATACAAGCTGTGTATGCCCAAAATTGCCTTTTTGGGGATGCCCAGCTTTGCTGTCCCTCCCCAGGCTCCACAGCTTGCTCGATAACCTGAAAATAAAACTGGCGAAACGAGAGAAGCAGTTCAGAGAGGAGAAACAGAGCATGGCAGCTGACTGTGAGCGCATCAGAGTGCGGTGCAAGGACACGCAGAGGAGGATGAGGTGGGGTGTACGTGGACATCCACCCATGATGAGGCCTCGGAGCACCTAACTGAGGTGCAGGGGGAGCCGACTCACTGTTTTGGGGCATGGAGCCTGCTTCCATGGGCCATCTCCCTTCTGCACAGGCAGTTTGCTGTCGCCGATGCTGAGAAGTTCATGGAGGTCTGGCTTATGAACGAGGCAGAAGCCAAACGGCTAATGCAGAAAGCCCTCGATGCAGATCGCATCATTCACACCCAGCAGCTGGGGCTGCCCTGGGAAGAGCCTCATTACTGGTTCCTGAACAACGTCGGCCCCCTCAGGCATTACAAAGCGAAGAGGATGGCAACCAAGCTGGCTGCAGAGGTCCTGACAGGTGGGATGCACAGTGCCCTTGTCACCCTTGTAGCACTGGGAGAGCCTCACCTTCCTCCATGACATCTCCTTCTGTCACTCCTATCTTTGCCATTGCAAGGTGGGATCTTACAGGGGTGACATTTCGAGCCCAAGCAGGGACCATTCACAGCACTGAGCTGGCTCATGCCAAAGCAATGTGTGGATCTTTGTGCCGTATTTTAGCCCAGTGCTCCCAGTTCTGGACAAGCTGATCAAGTGTTCATGTCCCAGGATCTTTGGGGTGCTTTTCAAGTCACAGGGAGTAATTGTGATTTCCCTGATGACTCCTGCAATGATGTGGCTGGGGAGCACAGTCAAAGCATAAAGGTGTTTGCTCATCCTTCTTTCTCCATGTTTCAGAGAGCAGCTCCGGGGAAGGACAGGAAGAGAAAGGGAGAGAGGAGAAGGAAGAAGCAGGTAGTGATGAAGGGGGAAAAGAAGACACAGTGAAGGTTGAGGGTAGAGTCACAGCTCTGCGAAATATCTCCAAGAAGACTGCCAAGAGGATCCTGGAGCTCGTGAGCAAAGAGTCGGTGCGTGATGATGCAGCACATGCCTTGGTCAGGGAGCAGGCAGGTCGTCCCCTGCTTGCTCCAGCTTGTAGTAGATCTCTTCTGAGTTCCACATCTTGGGGTGAAGGCTTCTGGATGGCAGAAGAGAGCTGCCCCAGGGGCTGGGAGAGGGTCTCTAGGTGGCTCTCCCAGAGCCTCCTGGCCCTGCCCAGCCTCACACTGCCCGCTGCTGCCCACCCTCCCTGCTCAACTTGCCACCACAGGGATGGCATGGCCATAGCATGGCATGGGCTGGCTTCTGGGCAGGGACGAGACGCTCACTGTTTCTCCGCGCCCTCTTCTCTTGCCTGTCTCCCTAGGATTTCCTCATTGAGAACAAGCTGCTGAAGCCCCTGAACGCACTGGAGAGGCACAACCGCATCCTCATAAAGCTCGACTCCATCTTTGCGGTGAGTTGTGCCTTGGCCCATCAGGGGCTGCAGGGAAGGGAAAGCTCTCTGCCCCATATCCATGGAGACTGAACCCCTCCAGCAAGGTCTGGCTGGGCTGCTGGGGGTACTCTGGGGCAGCAAGGGGAGAGGAGCACTGTGAGAGGTTGTGAAGGCACTGTGGCCAGACACTTCTCAACTCAAGGCCATCCTCTGATGAATTGGACAACATCTCTAGGGCCCCTCCAACCTGTGTCAGACTTTCCCATCCGCAGATAGCCCCAGCTGTCCCACACTATCCCCTTCTTACCACTCACTCCTGCCTTGAGTGGCATCATCAGAGAGGTACCCTTGGCTCCTGGGAAATGCTCTTTGTTCCACTCCCCCTCCTGTGATGGCTTGGCACGCGGCTGACCTGGTTCCTCTGCCTCCCCAGGCCATTGGAATCAACAGTGAGGATGACCTATACCAGCTGCTGGATTTTTTCCTGAAGTATAAATCCCAGGAGGTGGCTGCCAGCCAGGTGGGATCGTCAGGGACAGCAGCGGAGAAGAGCCCAGGGGTCTGGGGAAGGAGGAGCAGAACATCTCCTGAACACCCAGGGAGGGCAGAGAGGGAGAACAGCATATTGACCCTGAAATGTTTCCCTGTGACTGGACAAAGAGGGTGTACGTGCAAGGGCTGAGGGGATGTAATCTTCTTCTGTTGTGGCTGAACACAGCCTCTTGCACATGAATTTTTGCCTCAGCACCCTAAATTTGCCAAGGGACAAGGCTGTGGGCAGCTGAAGCTTTCAGGGGAAGGGTGGCTACTGGGGAGGAGGAGGTGGTCAAGGCACTGTGCCCAGCTTGCTCGCCTTCCCTCCAGAGCCAGAACAGCCCAGGTGGAGATCCAGCTGAGATGAGAGAGGACGATGGATCTGGCACCCAGGGGGACAAATCACCTCAGAGCTCACTCCCATCTATGTACATCCACACTGATGATGTCCTAAAGATCCTGAAAGCATTTGTGCGGGATTTTGACAAGTTGAGGTAGGACTATGGGCAAAGTGGGGCTGTTGTCACTGGGAGGGAGCCAGGTGGGGGCACAGCAGAGGCTCTGGGGTGGACTGCATTGCCCTGGCTGCAATGACAGCTCTCCCTGCCTGCCCTGCAAGATTACAGAGGGGTGAGGAGGGTCCCGTCAGGGGAGGGGGGCACAGGCAGTGTCTGCGTGAGGCATGGCTGGGGATAACCTGGCAGGAGATGAGCAGCTCAGGCAGGGAAGCAAAGCCCTGGAGCAGGCAGGTACCAGCTGTGGGGTTGTGCTCATTCATGTGATGATGGCAGTGGTGCTCAGGGCAGCTGAGGGATACGGGGCTGTTCCTCACCAATGAGGAGCTGAGCCCCACGGCTTTGTTCTCTGTCTCCCAGGGAGAGGGAGAAGGAGAAGGAAAAGGAAAAGAACAAGGACAAGGAGGTGCTACAGGTACAGTACAGCTCCAAGGATGGGGAATACTGGGAAGCCGTGGCGCATGTTATTCCCGAGACGACATTGAAGCTGTGGGATGCACTGGCAGCAGCGCTGGAGGAATATTAGTGAGTGGCTGGCAGTGCTCCTGGGGACAGGGCAGGCTGGTGGTGTGGCTGGGGAAACCACAGCAGCGCTGGCACTGCCACCAACCCTCTGCCCTCCCTGTTCAGTGAGGTCCTCAAGCGGAGGGCCATCCTGCTCACCGAAGCAGCCATCCTTCAGCAGCAGAACTCAGAGCTGTGCCTGCTGTTGGAGGAGTACATCAGCTCCGGGGTGAGTGCAGCATCCTTCTCCTTCATCCACCCCTCCCTGTGTGCCCCACACAGAGCTCCCAGACACTGGGCCGCTGCCCAAAGCCCATCGCTGTCAGGCTCAGGGGCATTCTTCCCACAGGTGAACAGCAAACTGATCTGCCCTCCCACACAGTGGATGGACCTGAACCTGTCCTGACCCGGAGAAGCACAGTGAGTGCCCAGGGCCAGGCCACATCTTTTCTCTGCCCGGAGCTGAAGCTGTGTCCAAAGCCAGGGCTAATAAACCCTTCCCAAACCCAAGCATGAGTGTGTGTATATTCTGCAAGGAGCACCCTGCTCACCTCCAAAGATGCTGGGGAGCCGCAGCCAAGCATCCCCCCAGTCCAGGGGATTCATGGCACTGTGGGAAAGCCTTTCCCATATCACTTATGCTACAAATCCATGTGGTTTGTGTGCTCCCTTCTCTCCATGGAGCCCAAGCCAGGACCCTGAACCTCCCACAGGTCAGCATCCCACCGGTGTGTCCTGGCTTTGGCAGAGCCCACCTTCCTTTACCTGTTTTTACACCTTATTCCCTACTTTTCCATTTGCTGCCACAGCACCTTTTTTTCCCCCCAGAATATCTCCAAACAACCCACCCCCAATTATTCTTCCCTCAGTGGTCCCAGGGCTGCTACATCTTTACCCAAATTTTGCATTTTGGTGAGGCCACATTGCATCTGTGACTTCAGGTCACTCCCTGGTTCACACCAGTTCTATCTCATTCCCAGTACAGGCTTTATCTTTAGCCTTGACTCCCCTGCTGAGTGCTAACAGCACAGACAGTTTCTCATACCAGAGCAGAATAACACTGTATTTACTTTTTTTTTTTTTTTGCTGCCCTTGAATTGTTTTCACCTTTCTCCTGGTCCCCATCAGGGATGCAGACAGCTCCAAGGGCCAGTGGTCCTGTGGGATGGCTTGCTGGCTGCACCCCTGGGGCAGGGATCCATGGGGCAGAAATGCAAATAAAAATGCCAAGATCATGAGGGTGGAGGGCAGTGAAAGGGCTTTGGGGCAGGGGAGGCAGGGATGGGCACGCTGCCTGGGACAAGGGAGCAGCAGACACCACCCAGCACATCTCGCTCTGCTGGATTCCCGGGACTGGCAAGGCACCAGCTCCTTGAAGTCAGAGGATGTTTCACTCGCAGTCCTGCATCCAGGTCTGGAGTCCCCAGCATGGGGAAGAAGGACATGGAGCCGTTGGAGCGAGTCCAGAGGAGGTCATGAAGATGCTCCGAAGGCTGGAGCACCTCTGCTGTGGACACAGGCTGCAAGAACTGGGCTTGTTCAGCCTGGAGAAGAGAAGGCTCCAGGGAGACCTTAGAGCAGCTTCCAGTGCCTAAAGGGGCTGGCAAGAAGTCTGGAGAGGGGCTTTGGACAAGGGCCTGTAGGGACAGGACAAGGGGGAATGGCTTTAACCTGACAGAGGGGAGATTTAGATATCTCTGGAAAAAGTTGTTCC